GTCTCTGGTCAAGTCTCTGGTCAAGGCTCTAGTCAAGGCTCTGGTCAAAGCTAGCTTTTAAGTTGACAGACTCTTTCAAAAACTATTCAAAACAAACACAAAACTATTCCAGAAATATCTATTTTAACTTCGATTTTAACTTTAAAAATCGATTATAACTATAAAAGAAAGAGAAAAATAAAGAAAAGGTAAGCTAAAATCTCTTCTATAAGAATTTCTTCTATATCTAAAAGCTATAAAAGATAAAGCAAAGATAAAGCAAAGATAAGCTTTTTTTAAAGCTTTAAAAATATTGATATATTAGGTAAATGCATAAGAAAATGCGGATTTACATAATTTGAACATTTCATTTTCAACATTTCAACAATACCCTCAATCTATAGAAACTCTATAGCTAAAGAAAGCTAAAGAATCCCTAGAAACCCCTATTAGCTCTATTTGTAGCTAGAGCAACAAACAAAAAATTTTGTTCTACTATAACTACAGTACTGCACAATGAAATATGATATTTGAGAAAACGATCGTCACTTTCGCGCGTCTGTAATTCTCTTGTCTTTGAGTTTAAACTATTAGTGTTATACATTTTCTGAAAGCTCTTTTCAAGGGCTACACAATGGTAATATTAATATTTAGAAATACGGTAAAGATAAGGGAGTTACAGACGCGCGAAAGTGACGATCTTTTTTCAAATATCATATTTCGTTGTCCAGTAGTGTACATGCATAAGAAATGCGGATTTACATAATTTCAACATTTACATATATTTCCAACGATAGAAACGATAGAAATTCCAACGATAGAAACCATGATATCGATGAATGTTATAAACTATTTGAAAGTTTTGAAATCTCCTCTACAAAATAGACTACAAAATGTGTTTCAATTGATCGAAGCATTGAAGAAATTTCGAGACCGAAATGCGAGTGGCCAAAAAAGGAATCGAGTCACTTTAGGGACAAGTTTTGTGTCGTGAAAATAGAGTTAACTTCCCAAAATTGAAGATTTAGCAAAAAGAAAGGATAACTATATATGAATTCATTAAAAAAAAGTCTAAAAAAGCGAGTGACCAAAAAAGGGCACTTTTTGTAAACCACCCCCACTTTCACAAGAGTTCGATTTTGATTATATAGTGGAAAATGAGCGCTCTAAAATCATTTAAATATCATTGAAAATAATTAAGAGTTGGGATCATTTCATGGGAAAACTTTCTTTTTATGCATAAGTGTTGATGCATAAGTGTTTTTGTTCCTTTTCGTCGGCCGTTTCAAGCCAACAAATGCACCAATTAAACTACGGTTGATTTCATTAGAAAAACCAATTATTTTTCTGCAAAATAACATTAAAACGGGTTTAAAAATATTTAATGCCTGGATTTTCTTGAGAGTATGAAGTCGGGTAGTCAAAAAGGGCTAACTCGATGATGCGGTTTAGACACCTTAATAATAATAATACTTTATTCAAACGATAAAGTGAAAGAAATGATAGAGAAATGCACAGTGATACTTAATCATACAATACATACTGAAATCAATAAGCCAATTACTTACGGCAAAGAGCCACTAGATCTAAAGCATCGATACGTTTTTAGACACCTTAGCTAAAGAAAACCTATCTTCGTGTCAATAGATAAAAGATAGAGAAAACAAAACGTTTGATATTTCGCCAAAATTTCAGAGAAATTCATTCAGCCAATTTTTCCGTGGAGTTTTTTTATAGATTTTTACGAAAAAGTCATTTTTCACTCTCGAATTTGCTTGAAAGTGAACCGAAATTCATTTAAAAAGATGCAAATTGAACAAAAAAAACACTTTTTTTATAGAGCAAACTATAGATTAATTGGTGAATTTGTTACTTTTTAACAGAAGTACGAAAAAAACGAAAAGACTTATGCATCAACCTAATACAATAGTTTTTCTTTTTTTGTGAAAAAGCCGGTTTTTTTTGACCATTTTGAGGGTTTTGAACTTGAGCTTTATCTAAATTTCTGTAAATGCATTCCCGTTAGACTTTTTTTAATGAATTCATATATAGTTATCCTTTCTTTTTTTTTAAAATCTTCAATTTTGGGAAGCTAACTCTATTTTGAGCACACTAAACTTGTCCCTAAAGTGACTCGATTCCTTTTTTTTTTGGTCACTCGCATTTCACCCTCGAAATTTCTTCAATGCTTTGATCAATTGAAACACATTTTAGTCTATTTTGTAGAGGGGATTTCAAAACTTTCAAATAGTTTATAACATTCATCGATAACATTCATCGATTTCAGCTTTCTACCGTTGGAAATTTGTGTTGTAAAATTTATGTTGTGAAATGTATGTTATGAATGTTGACATCCTTTTTTTTCTGGCATTTCTTATGCATGTACCTAATAGGTTTTTATCTCAGTCACTTGCCTTTTCGGCCAAGAAGAACAAAGTTTTAAATGTGAGTTTCAAGATTAATACTGTGTAAAATGGATAGTTGTTGTTTCATTTGCGAAAGATCCTTTAAACGGAGCCTTCACCAAAATTCCCCCCTTTAATCGCTCGTAAAAGCTCACTTAGATAAATGAAATTTTCATTGGATATTCATTGGATATTCATTGGATATTCATTGGATACTTGAATCTAGATCTCAAATCAAATAACAAATCTGGATCTCAAAAAGATCCTAAGAACTCAAATCCCTCTTCTCTTTACTGACAATCGATCATTTCCCTTCTTTTTCTCCTTCGAAAATTGTTGCTATGTCCGGCGATTTGCCCCTTCCCCTTCCCCTCCTCTAGAGAACAATTTAAGCACTACCAATTTTTCTTAAATCTAGATATTTATATCTATAAACTATATACTTCAAATAGATGCTGAGAGATTCTGATTAGGCTTTGATCCCCTTTAACCCTTCCAGACTTATCCAACGAACTTTCAAAACTAAGCCTACTAGCCAAAAGCTAGCCAAAACTTAAGCTCAAAGCGACTTTTGTAACTAATTTTTCACTAATTTCAAAAAGCTATATCATTTGTATAGAGATTTTCGAGACTCCCCGTACTAATTTTAACGCCGTTTTTCTCTATGTTTTTGCTGGTGATTACCCCAAACAAATTGCACTTTTCTCTAGCCAAATTTGATGAGGATTCTAATGAAACTTATCGGAAGTGATAAACTTGAATTAAAGCATTTGATGAACTTGAATTCAAGCATTTGAATTCAAGAATTTGAATGCATGAACTTGAATGCATGCACTTGAATTCAAGCATTTGAATACAAGAATTTGAGTTCAAGCATTTGAGTTCAAGCATTTCAATTCAAGAATTTCAATTCAAGCATTTGAATACAAGAATTTCAATTCAAGCATTTGAATACAAGAATTTGAGTTCAAACATTTGAGTTCAAGCATTTCAATTCAAGAATTTCAATTCAAGCATTTGAATACAAGAATTTGAGTTCAAGCATTTGAGTTCAAGCATTTCAATTCAAGAATTTCAATTCAAGCATTTGAATACAAGAATTTGAGTTCAAACATTTGAGTTCAAGCATTTCAATTCAAGAATTTCAATTCAAGCATTTGAATACAAGAATTTGAGTTCAAACATTTGAGTTCAAGCATTTCAATTCAAACATTTCAATTCAAGCATTTGAATACAAGAATTTGAGTTCAAACATTTGAGTTCAAGCATTTCAATTCAAGAATTTCAATTCAAGCATTTGAATACAAGAATTTGAGTTCAAACATTTGAGTTCAAGCATTTCAATTCAAACATTTCAATTCAAGCATTTGAATACAAGAATTTCAATTCAAGCATTTGAATACAAGAATTTGAGTTCAAACATTTGAGTTCAAGCATTTCAATTCAAACATTTCAATTCAAGCATTTGAATACAAGAATTTGAGTTCAAACATTTGAGTTCAAGCATTTCAATTCAAGAATTTCAATTCAAGCATTTGAATACAAGAATTTGAGTTCAAACATTTGAGTTCAAGCATTTCAATTCAAGAATTTCAATTCAAGCATTTGAATACAAGAATTTGAGTTCAAACATTTGAGTTCAAGCATTTCAATTCAAACATTTCAATTCAAGCATTTGAATACAAGAATTTCAATTCAAGCATTTGAATACAAGAATTTGAGTTCAAACATTTGAGTTCAAGCATTTCAATTCAAACATTTCAATTCAAGCATTTGAATACAAGAATTTGAGTTCAAACATTTGAGTTCAAGCATTTCAATTCAAGAATTTCAATTCAAGCATTTGAATACAAGAATTTGAGTTCAAACATTTGAGTTCAAGCATTTCAATTCAAACATTTCAATTCAAGCATTTGAATACAAGAATTTCAATTCAAGCATTTGAATACAAGAATTTGAGTTCAAGCATTTGAGTTCAAGCATTTCAATTCAAGAATTTCAATTCAAGCATTTGAATACAAGAATTTCAATTCAAGCATTTGAATACAAGAATTTGAGTTCAAACATTTGAGTTCAAGCATTTCAATTCAAGAATTTCAATTCAAGCATTTGAATACAAGAATTTGAGTTCAAACATTTGAGTTCAAGCATTTCAATTCAAACATTTCAATTCAAGCATTTGAATACAAGAATTTCAATTCAAGCATTTGAATACAAGAATTTGAGTTCAAACATTTGAGTTCAAGCATTTCAATTCAAGAATTTCAATTCAAGAATTTCAATTCAAGAATTTCAATTCAAACATTTCAATTCAAGAATTTGAAATACACAAATGATTTGGCTTTTACGAAATCAGTGAAAACTTTTGCCTACAAAATGAGCTTAGTTTTAAAAGTCGATCGTAAATCTGAAAGGGGTTTTTTTTTGAGTTAATTCTCGTTAATTCCGATCAACCGATTTCGGTGCTAGTTTTTCTAGGCTAAATAGTAAGTAGAAAAAAAAGAAACGAATAGCTTTCGCCAAATTTCCCCCGTCTCAACTCGATTTTCCCAACGAGAAGAAAGAAAAGAAAAGAAAATATGCAAATATTTCAAAGATTCTAAAATCACCTAAAAGATGAGCTTTTTAATCTTTCAACATTTGCAGGTAAGACAGAAGAATTTCTTTTTTTCAATTTCTTTTTTAAAAATTTCTTTTCCAGCGAGTTCGCTCGGTTTTCTTGCATGTTGGCCTTGTGACATTGTGTGTATCGTATATTTTGATCGGAGCACAAGGTAGGCTTTTTAAAATATCTAAATTACATCTAGATAAGGAAATTTACATTTCTATTGACCCGATCCGGCTGATCCGGCTGATCCAGGGAAAACAGCTTCGTAGTACTTGTGAGTATTGATTGGTGAGCTAAGGAAATCTGGCTCACTGAGTCTCACTGAGTTGGCTCACTGAGTCTGACTCACTGAGTTCTCAGTGCACATTTCGTAGGTAAAATATTGAAAGGCTGAAATCTTAATCGGCTACGACAAATATTATAGTTAACTAGCGCCATCTTATCGTCAGCAGGATTCGAAAAATCCGATCAGGTCTGACCCCGATCCTCAAGCCTGATCGGGTTTTTCCAATCCTGCTGACGATAAGATGGCGCCCAAAAACCCACTCCTCAAGGTCTGACCCAGGGAAACCGGCTTCGTAGGAGTTGTATTGATTGGTGAGCTCAGGAAAACAGGCGCACAGAGTTGTTGGAACAACCAGGGCCTAAGGCTAGGCAAAACCAGGCCCTGTCCTGACTTACAGCCTCTAGACCTAACTCTAACTCTAACACTAAAATGGTTGTGATTTAGCAAAGAAGTAAAATAGATTTATCGGTGGGGAAGGCCAAAGGAGAAGGCCAAAGGAGAAGGCCAAAGGAGAAGGCCAAAGGAGAAGGCCAAAGGCAAGCACACTATCCACAACACTATTACGTCGCTAAGTTAATGGGAAGCAAGGCTCTGAAAGCTCTAAAAGTTAGATTAGCTTTGAAAAGCTTTTCAACTTCTTTACGAGATAACTCTCGATACAGAGCTTTGTTAGTGAAACAAACAAAACTTTTCGTTCAAAAATCATCCTTCAAAACTCTCAGATCAAGAGAATCAACTCTCAGGATTGATTGAGATTGATTGAGATAAGTTTCCTCTAACTCTAATAAACAATTCTCAGTTTTTCTCCTAATCGAGCGCCCGGTTGAGCAAAGAGCAAAAGAAATGGCAGCAATGAGATTTCACCAAATGAAAGAGGTTTTTTTCTTGAAAGTTTTTTCTTGATTTCAATCAAATTCCTTTAATCGATAGCTGATTTAGGATTTCATCTCGAATCTTTCTGCTAATCCAAAAGATTTTGATCGTTTAATCGATGAATACACGAGAGAAATGTTTCGAATCTTTGAACAAGGTTATAAAATATTTAAATAAAACAACTACCGTATTTTCTCTAATAGTAGTGCACCGTGAGCGTCGCCTAAATTCGTCGAAATCTCGAGAAGCGCTTATCAGAACCTATCGATGTGGGGTCGGAAAATGTAGCTGACGATGAGATCTTGTGGGGGATTTGAGGGTTGAGCTTCTGGGAAAGCTTGGAAACTGTAAAATAGTGACCAACTCGGCTCTGCGGCGTGCACTACTATTAGAAAGAATACGGTAATAATTTGTACGATCAACAAACTCTAATCGATCCAAATATCGTATTCTCTCTAATAGTAGTGCACCGTGAGCGTTGCCTAAATTCCTCGAAAGCTTGAGAAGCGCTTATGAGAACCTATCGATGTAGCTGTAGCTGACGTAGCTGACTATCAGCTGACGTATGTAGCTGACGATGAGATCTAGTGGAGGATTTGAGGGTTGAGCTTTTGTGAAAGCTTGGAAACTGTAAAATAGTGATCAACTCGGCTCTGCGGGGTGCACTACTATTAGAGAAAAGACGGTAAATAGATTTATGAAATGAAAATGAAAAAAAAAAAACAAATGAAACTTAAGAACCCTACGCTGGGAATACATTCGAATTGATGGAAAAGACGAATTTCTCAATCCCTCAAGAGAATCAATGGACTTTTGCGAGTGCTGTTCTTTTCACAAGCACTACTGTAATCCCTGTTGGTTAGTGATGTTTCGAAAAGGATTCATTTATCATTATCAATTTATCAGTGTCTTTCAGTAGCTTACAGAATTGTTGTTAATTTGTTTTGAATTGAAAAGTATTCAGGTTATGGCTTCATCGCTCCATCGACATCTCTTGGAAGAGCTTTTGTCATCATTTATGGTTAAGAATTTGATTTTTAGCTTTTATTTAAAGATCTAACTTTATTACAATGATTCTTTGATTCATTTTTTTTATTCTTTTTCTAGGAATGATCGGTATCCCATTGGCACTTGTCACTATGGCTGATGCGGGGAAATTTCTCTCGAAATTTGTTCTCGATTTCTTTGAAGAGGTTTTCATTGAATGAACTAGCTTGTAATTGTCGTGATCTAGCTAAAACGTGTCCCCTTTTCTACCGTAATCTATTCGATACTTTATCTAATCTTTTCACCATTTGATGATGATTTTTCACCAATGATCTAGCTTGAAATTCGTTTTCAAAAAAAAGTGCCCCTTTCCACTGTAATCTATTCTATTTTTTTTTTGTTTGAATTCTCTGAGGGTTTACAAAGGATATCAAAAGATAGAAAAAGTAAATATTGGGTTGATGCATAATTATCCGGACTTCTTTTTGCGTGCTTGTATCTTTTTTGTTTTGAAAGCTTTTTGTCTATTTCTTTTTTTTAAATATTCGTTATTCTTTAGTGAACAAAATGCGTGTCGACAATCATATCCATCTTCGCCATATCATGCTCTACCACTTCGAAAAGGGATGGTCTGCCGCAGAGTCGTTTCGCGATCTCAAAGAACTGGAGAAGCCCCAACGGACTACCACGTCAATCGATCGCTCAAAAATTGGCAAACAAATAAGATCTACAACGATTTGGATGACTTGATAGACGATGTTAAAGCGTGGATTGCCTCCAAAGATCGTTTATTCTTCGCTCGTGGAATCGATCGTCTTCCAAGCAAATGGCAATCAGTTATTGATGTAGGCGGTGAATATGCTCCAGAATAATCAATTAAACATATTTTTCTAACTATTTATGTTATTTTTTGTTAAATAAAATCATTTATAAAAGAAGTCCGGATAATTATGCATCAACCCAATAGATTGCTGAATGTTTGGTAGAGGATTTATCTTTAAAGTTTGACCTCTCAGTTAGATTTCTAAAGCTTGACCTCTCAGTTAGACCAAGTTCGACTCCTCGAATCGAAACTTTCTCGATCGATTCCCGACATCCACCGATTTCAGAGTCTTCTAAAGTTTGACCTCTTAGTTTGATCTCTAATGTTTGATCTCTCAGTTTGATCTCTAAAGTTTGACCTCTCAGTTTGACCTTTCAGTTAGATCTCTCAGTTTGATCTCTCAGTTAGACCAAGTTCGACTCCTCGAATCGAAACTTTCTCGATCGATTGCCGACATCTACCGACATCCACCCAATTTCAGAGTCTCGTCATTCCGACGATCATGTTCGTCTCATTTCTTGTCGTTTACCCACTCCTTGGTGGCATTATTTTTAACTTTTTCACAGGTAAATATTAAAAAAATCCTCATATTACAAAGCCCAAAGGTATGTCGATTCTCGACGCGATCTACTTCTCGTTAACCTCAATTTTCACGATTGGTTTTGGCGATATTATGGTATCATTATCGTTATCTTAAATATCGTTATCTTCAAAACCTTTATCTAGTCTAAGCAATTCACAGTAATCCAGTATAAGACTTACAATAAGACTACAGTAATCTCTACAACAAGACTACAGTAATCTTTACAACAAGACTACAGTAATCTTTTCAAAATTTCAAGCCAGACGTCGGCGTGCTCAGCTTGGTCGCCTTTAACATCATTGGTGTGATTTTAGTGACAATTTCAGTTGAATGGGTAAGTCATAAATTTTAGAAAAGTTATTATAAATCAAAAAAAATATATTCTATATAACAATTCTTAACTCTTTTAGGTAGCCGCCGAGGCCATCAATCATGTACATTATATGGGAAGGCAAGTGGGACGGGCGAGGCTGTTGGCTGAGAAAATGATACATGTGAGTTGAGAGAGTTCGTTGAAGAGTGCCTTTTAAAAATAACCAACTAGAGCAGCTTGTTCACTAGAGCAAGTAGCAGAGCAAGCAGAGCAAGCAGAGCAAGCAGTGGAGCTCTTTATCTCTTTAGTGCAACGAGTTACCGCAGTTAATCGATCAAAATGAATAGCCATGGTTAGCCAAGTTAAAGCCACGACTCTCGCAAATCAATCTTCAATCAAAATTCCAGATCGCTCAATCACTAAGCGTCAACAAAGGGATCGGTGCCGGGATGACTCAATTGCATGCATTAGCTAAATTCGGAATGTTTGCCAAGGTAGATTGGTCAATAATAGTCAATAAGTTGCCATAGATAATAATCCTGTAAGCTTAAGGATAGCTAATTATTGGCTTAAAGATAGCTAATGTCATCTTGTAATCTTAAAGATAGACAGATAGACAATAAACTTGTAAGCTTAAAGATAGCCAATACTCTTGTAAGCTTAAGGATAAACAATAATCCTTGTAATCTTAAGGATAGACAATAATCTTATAATCTTAAAGATAGACAATACTCTCGTAACCTTAAGAATAGACAATAATCTTATAATCTTAAGGATAAACAATAATCCTTGTAATCTTAAGGATAGACAATAAACTTGTAAGCTTAAAGATAGCCAATACTCTTGTAAGCTTAAGGATAAACAATAATCTTGTAATCTTAAGGATAGACAGTAATCATTGCAAGCTTAAGGATAGACAATACTCTTGTAAGCTTAAGGATAGACAATAATCTTATAATCTTAAAGATAGGCAATAATCTTGTAATCTTCAGGATAGACAATAATCCTTATAATCTTAAAGATAGACAATACTCTCGTAACCTTAAGAATAGACAATAATCTTGTAATCTTAAGGATAGGCACTACAAATTCGAATTCTCCTCTTTCCGAATATCTTTTCTCGATTTTCAGAATTCCGAAGAATCATTGGAGAAAAAGAAAAGCTTTTGCGGGTGTTTTCAATCAGAAAAATACAAACAGAAAAACTCGCTGGCCGCCTTTTTGCAGAATTATGCGGTAATGAAAGTCCCTTAGTTCAATTATTTGGTTCATTTATTTATTTTATTTTTTTTCTTTTTTTAGTTCAAATATTTGTTATATTCAAATGAGATTTGTCGAAATAATTGCAAAATTTTCAGTTCGAGACGCCAACCGCCAACCACCAAGGTCAACCGACGACCGTTCAATTCATTCATGAGCAACCGAAAATCGCTTTTGAACCGGATTTGGATGATGAAGATTTTCAATATATGGATCACGGCGTATCAACCGATATCCGAGCATCGGCTTTGCATTTGAATTTGTATGATTTTTAAGGAAAATAAAAAAGAAAGCCGGCTTTATTGATAATAAAAGATAAAAAAATACAAATTTGCCTTTTCAACTCTGCGAACAAGAGACTGAGTCAAAGCGTTGTCCGTTGTACTCCTGAAAATGATTGAATTTGAGAGGCTTGAGAGTCTAATTGATGTCTCTTCTCTTTCTTTCTCTTTTCTCCTTCTTTCTTTATTTCTTTCTTCTTCTTCTTCTTCTCCTTAAACTTACCCAAAATCCGTTGACACATGTGACAAAAATGTCGATACTTTCCGCGTCTCGACCAGCGAAAATTACTGTTGTTCCCTGATTTTAAGAAATTTAGAATTCGAAAAGAACGAAAAGAAACTTTGAGAATTTAATAAACTATAATTCTATGCTTTCACAACTTTTCAAACCTACTTTTAGCAACTGTAGATAAGCCGTCGTAGCGTCAGTCATTGGAGCAACCTAAACCAGAAATGATTACAAGAAAAACAATCGATCTAAACCAGAAATGATTATAAAAAACCAAATCCTTAAAAAGTTTAGAGATACAGCTACAATCAATTATTTAAAAATTATACATGACAAACGATATCGCCATTCGTTGGACACGGCTCGTTGTTGTAGTAGCGGAGGATCGAGCATTGATCGAGACCTGGGGAATTGTCGAAAGAGTTATGAAAAGTATAAACATGATGATTAACTGGTTGCCTGGTTAACTGGTTATCTGGTTAGCTGGTTAACTGGCTAACTGGTTAACTGGTTAACTGGTTGCCTGGTTAACTGGTTATCTGGTTAGCTGGTTAACTGGCTAACTAGCTAACTAGTTAACTGGTTAACTGGCTAACTGACCAACTGGTTAACTGGTTGACTGGTTGACTGGTTGACTGGTTGACTGGCTAACTAGTTAACTGGCTAACTAGCTAACTGGTTAACTGGTTAACTGACCAACTGGCTAACTGGTTAACTAGCTAACTAGTTAACTGACTAACTGACTAACTGGCTAACTGACTAACTGGCCATATTCTACAAGTAAAAGCATTTCCCTCACCCTCATACGCTCCAACGGGCACAACACGGGGGAAAAGATTCTCCGAGAGTACTGGACAACAAACTGAATTAGAATTGATGAAGGATCTAATGACTTAATTACTTTACTATTGCAGATGATTTCAGGATTTAGGATTATCGATTAGTCAAAGCCGATTTTAAAAAAGAGATTTACTAACTGATTAAAGCGAGAGATTAGATTTTAACAAAAAAATTTAGCAGTCCGAAACTCGTTACGTAAAGAAGAAGTAAAAAAGACTTTTTCCAAGAAAATCGAAATTATTGCTAATTTTAAATCAAAAAGTCTAAAAAAAAGTAGATTTTTATGAACAAAATGAAGAATAAAGATGTTTATTTCTTTATTTATTGATTATCTGATTCGCTTCTATTCGCCCCATGAATAAAGCATATATATGTCGTAGCCGCTAACGAATGAAATTTTTCGCTAGCCGTTTACGAATGATTCGTTAGCGGCTAGCCGATTACGAATGATTCGTTAGCGGCTAGCCGATTACGAATCATTCGTTAGCGGTTAGCCGATTACGAATCATTCGTTAGCGGTTAGCCGATTACGAATCATTCGTTAGCGGTTAGCCGATTACGAATGATTCGTTAGCGGCTAGCCGATTACGAATGATTCGTTAGCGGTTAGCCGATTACGAATCATTCGTTAGCGGTTAGCCGATTACGAATGATTCGTAATTCGTAATCGGCTAGCCGATTACGAATCATTCGTTAGCGGCTGAATTTCGTTAGCGGCTACGACATATATATCTTATTCGAAAAAAGAAAAAAAGTAAAACTTATCAACCGGGATTTGGTGGCTTTGTCGGAATACAGCCGAATGTTGGTGTGATCAACGCTAAGAATAATAAAGCGGACATTATGCAGATAGTACAGTACAGTACAGTACAATATAGTACAGTACAGTGCAGTACAGTACACTACAGTACACTACAGTACAGTACAGTACACTACAATACACTACAATACAGTACAGTACAGTAAACAGTAGTAGTTTTGAATATAAAATATGAATTTCTTATTTTGATAGCTATTTGGTGAATGAGAATTATTGGAATTGATTTGGAAAAGAACGAGATTTCCATATGAAAATGATATCAAAAATTTCCGGTTTCCAAGTCGAGAACAATCAAATTTTTAGAGATTTGAGAGATTCTAAGGAAATATTTCCAAATTCCACCTGTTCTACATCTACAAAAATTAACATTTAAACAAGTTTAGAGTCGTTTTAATACCATGATATTCTTTGAAATCCTTTCAAATCCTTTCAAATCCTTTCAAATCCTTGAAATCTTGATTTTTCACCTTAAAACTTTATCTAAATCTTGATTTTTTTTTTATTAAACTTTACTCATTTTCTGTGATCAAAGCAGAAATTGGCTTATTTTATCTTAAACAATCAAGCAATTGATTGAAAAATCGAGTGAATTTTAATGAATAAACTATCAGCTTTTGCTACCAAACTCGAGAAATTTTGATGAGTAAACCATCAGAAAACTTAGTGAGTTCGAGCTCACAGAAAGCCTAGTGAGTTTGGACTTACGGAAAACCTAGTGAGTTTAGACTTACGGAAGGCCTAGTGAGTTTGGACTTACAGAAGGCCTAGAGAGTTTGGACTTACAGAAGGCCTAGTGAGTTTGGACTTACAGAAGGCCTAGAGAGTTTGGACTTACAGAAGGCCTAGTGAGTTTGGACTTACAGCAAAACCTAGTGAGTTTGAGCTCACAGAAAGCCTAGTGAGTTTGAACTCACAGCAAAATCTAGTGTGTTTAGATTCATTGGATTTTCAACAAGTCGAAACTCTTGAAGTTTCAACAGGGTGTTTAAACTCGAAGAATTTCTTAGAGTTTCGATTTTTTTCGTTTAATATAAAAACTTTCATTTAAACGAGTCTTGTCTTGTGAATATGCAAATTTTTCTGTGTGTTTTAAATTTGGATTTATTTATGGAAGTTGTTTTGAATGCCTACAATTCACACCTACAGTACTAGTGCCTTTTTTTCAGCGCTAGAGTCAGGGTAATCAAGGTCATAGATAAATTCAAATGTTCAAATTTTACCTCGGTTTAAGTTTAAGAAGTTCCCAGAAAAGGTCGAACACCAGTAGACACAGAGCATTCGCTTCTTTCTGTGAATGTTCCGTTTTGAACATCGCTTTCCCTAATTGCCCTTTCTTTAACCTTCTTTAACCACTACCGTTGTAACACTTGATCATCAAAGAAAATGCAAGTTTGATTGTGAGTGATGATGCCTGAAAGACGAAGCCGATCATGCCAATATTCACTTCAAAAGTGTTGACATGTTCGCTTTCTTTTTGCTTGAACTCTTTCCGACATTTTGTATGGGATTTGGCGTTGTTTTCTCTAGTTTCTTCTCACTTTTCACAGCCACCACCACACAGTCATTCGTCCACAGTAACATCCAGCAAATTTCCGGGTTTATCCATCAAAGTTTCGCAAGAGTCGTTGCCTCAGAATCACTTTTCGGGAGTCGACCGTTTGCCCTCTTCTGTTTGATCCTCTTGTTGCCCGTTTTGAATTTGTGAAATCATTCCTGTGCAGTACTCGTTCCCACGATTCTGTGCCCATAAAATTCATTGATTTCTCGTCTTGCTTTAGCTGCTGAAAACCCTTTTGAAAATCGTTGAAGCAGTAGGGCATGGATTTCTTCTCGAGTTGACTTCATTCGATTGCTTCATTCGATTGCTTCATTCGATTGCTTCATTCGATCGCTTCATTCGATCGCTTCATTCGATCGCTTCATTCGATCGCTTCATCCGATCGCTTCATCCGATCGCTTCATCCGATCGCTTCATCCGATCGCTTCATCCGATCGCTTCATCCGATCGCTTCATCCGATCGCTTCATCCGATCGCTTCATCCGATCGCTTCATCCGATCGCTTCATCCGATCGACTTCAACTCTCTTCTCGTGTCGATCTCTAAAAAATGAATATTAGTGCAAGAAAGAAGAAAGTTTCAGCATGAAATGAAAAAAGATAAATACAAAAAGTTGTTTTGTCAGCGAGTCAAGAGAAAAATCTCTGAATTTTTATGGGACAAACTAATATAGTCGGCAAAATTCCCGCAGTCGATTCACTTTTTTAACCTTGCCTTTTGACATTCCCATGAGCGTTTCAATCTTTCGGCACCAACAAGATTTTTCCTGCTTTCTTCCTTTCCTCCTTTCCTCCTTTCTTTCTTCCCTCCTTTCTTCCTTCCCTCCTTCCCCCCTTCCCCCCTTTCCACCCACCATTTTCTCTTCATACCGACCGTTTTTTTCCCTTTTCCCTTCACAAAAGCACCAATAGTTTTGAGAAAAGAATTTATTGAGCCTTTTCTTTCTTCATTCATGTCAAGGACACTTCACCACCAATCTCCTTCCCATTTGAACCAATCTCGATTTTGAACTTATGAAAACTCACTTCATTACTCTAAACTATTCTTTGAGGTATACTTTGTGCTTTTCTAAACGCAGCCTTTCTGGTGCACTCAACGATAAGCAAATGCAGGGTAAAGCATCGAAATTAAGAGAATTCTAGGCATTGTATCGATTGCACCAGAAGGGGTGCGTTTACATGCTCATTCTGATGGCTTAAAGTATGCCATCAGTGCACCAGAAGGGGTGTGTTTACAAGAAAGGGTACACATTAAAGTTTTTACCGTGATATTGGAATGTTAAAACTTTTAAAAGACTTTCAACGAGGCTAAAACCTCAAAAATCTGTGACAAACATGGGAAAAACGAATGAAATCACTTGGAAAAGTTCTAAACACAATTAAATGCATAAGATTCTCGCAGAAAATAAAAAAACAATCCTCGATTTCCCATCGACTTCACGTGAATCTTTTGTCTTTTCTTGAATTTGCCCCCCAAATTGTGGCCACTTTCCTTGCCTTTTCCAGCGCCAATTTCGCCGGCTCCTTTTCGCTTTCACATGTGATTTTTCGAGATGAACAAATAGTATTTTCATATCATTTCAAACAAAATACAGTAAGTATTTCTTTTAGTCGATTTTTCTGCTTTAAAGCTAACTCTTTAAAGCTAACTCTTTAAAGCTAACACTTTAAAGCTAACTCTTTAAAGCTAGCTCTTTAAAGCTAACTCTTTAAAGCTAACTCTTTAAAGCTAACACTTTAAAGCTAACTCTTTAAAGCTAGCTCTTTAAAGCTAACTCTTTAAAGCTAACTCTTTAAAGCTAACACTTTAAAGCTAACTCTTTAAAGCTAGCTCTTTAAAGCTAACTCTTTAAAGCTAACTCTTTAAAGCTAACTCTTTAAAGCTAGCTCTTTAAAGCTAACTCTTTAAAGCTAACTCTTTAAACTTGAACTTTTCTCGATGTCTCCTAATTTCTACGTTCCATGTTCCCTAATTTCTAAACTAATTTCTACCCTAATTTCTAATCCCTAATTCTAATAATTTCTACGCCCCCTTCTATCCGTATCCCGAAGAAAATTGCCAAAACAAAATTGCCATTTGATTATTTGATTATTCCATTATCCATATTGCAATTTTCGAAAAGCCTTAGATGATTTAAAGTTGTGTTGATTGTGTTGATTAAATCAACCTGCCAGTTGATTTAAAAGACAAGCTCAGACTAGGTTAAACCTTCATATTCAGCCCCAGATGCTCAGCCCCTTTTTCGATCCGTTTTCCCCGTTAGCAATCTACGAATTTTGCTCATATCTTTGCCAGGTTTCTTTCAAAAATGTTCATTTTGCTTTCATTCGACTCGAAATCAAATTCTCGATCGAATGAAATCAAAATCAACGCTTTTCAAACAAATTCAGCTAAGATACGAGCAAAACTCATAGTTTCCCGCAATTCAACGGCAAATTGACCGAAAAACGAGAGGAGCTTAATTTGGATGGATGTGAAATTGTCTTTTATTCGTTTTTCTCTATTAGATTTCGCTCGTTTTTTGATTTGAGACGGTGTAAATCAAGGATAAAGCAAAAGATGAAAATGAAAACTTTTCGAACTTCGTTGGGAATCGATCCCCCAGCCTTTGGCTGACCAGGTCAAGCGCGCTAACCACTATCCCACAGGGCACTAGATTTGCCTCGCTTCAGAGGGATGTTAAGTCAACCGATCACTGTTTTTCTCCTGATATTTTAAACAAGGATTTTGATAAGAAAATCATAAAAATTGATTAACTCTACGATTACCGTTTTTTCTCTAATTTCTCTGCACCCTGAGCGTTGCCTAAATTCCTCGAAATCTCGAGAAGCGCTTATCAGAACCTATCGATGTGGGGTCGGAAAATGTAGCTGACGATGAGATCTAGTGGGGGATTTGAGTGTTGAGCTTCTGGGAAAACTTGGAAACCGTAAAATAGTCATTAACTCGGCTCGCCCGGGTGCACTACTATTAAAGAAAATACGGTAGTTGAAAAAAGGATTTCAAAAATTCTTTCCAATTCAAAATCAGTGTCATTTTTTTCTGAGTTTTAAATGTGCTATTAGAAGGAATTTCTATGGTTTACGATCTAGATTCATCTTTATATTAGGTTGATGCAAAAGTCTTTTTCATTTTTTTCGTACTTCTGTTAAAAAGTAACAAATTCACCAATTAATCTATAGTTTGCTCTATCAAAAAAAGTGTTTTTTTGTTCAATTTGCATCTTTTTAAATGAATTTCGGTTCACTTTCAAGCAAATTCGAGAGTGAAAAACGCCTTTTTCGTAAAAATCTATAAAAAACTCTACGGAAAAATTGGCTGAATGAATTTCTCTGAAATTTTGGCGAAATATCAAACGTTTTTGTTCTCTATCTTTTATCTATTGACACGAAGATAGGTTTTCTTTAGCTAAGGTGTCTAAAAACGTATCGATGCTTTAGATCTAGTGGCTCTTTGCCGTAAGT